GAATATTATTTGGCACTAAAAAAATGAGCTCTCAAGCCATTAAAAAAAAAAAAAAAGGAAGAGACTTAAAAACATGTCACTAAGGGAAAGAAGCCCATCTGAAAGGCCCCATACCGTATGATTCCAAATATGTGACACTCTGGAGGAGGTGAGCTATGGAGACAGTAAAATGATCGGTGGTTCCCAGGGGTTAGAGGGGAGGGAGGGGTGAACAGGTGACACGGAGGAATTTTAGGACAGAGAAAACACTTTGTGCAATGCTGTACTGCTGGACACATGTCGTTGGATATTTGTGAGCAGAAGAGCGAGCCCTCCCATAAACCACAGACTTTGGTGGCTGTGATGTGCCAGTGTAGGTTCCTCAGCTGTAATGATGTGCACTCCGGTGGGGAGCGTTGATGAGGGGGGCAGGGGTTATGTTGGAAATCTCTGTACCTTCCACTTGGTTTTGCTGAGAACCCAAAACTGCTCTGAAAAATGAAATCTATCAACAAAATGGAAGAAATCATTTGTAGTTCTATATATTAGCAATGAATAATCTGAAAAGGAAATTTAGAAATAATTCCATACACAATAGAATCAAAAAGAATAAAATACCTAGGAATAAATTTAACCAAGGAAGTAAAAGACTTCTACAATCAAAATTGCAAAATATTTCCTTTTTTTTTTTTTTTTGAGACAGAGTCTCACTCTGTCACCCTGAGTAGAGTGCCGTGGCGTCAACCTAGCTCACAGCAACCTCAAAGTCCTGGGCTCAAGCCATCCTCCTGCCTCAGCCTCCCAAGTAGCTGGGACTACAGGTGCAAACCACGACACCCTGCTAATTTTTCTATTTTTAGTAGAGACGGGGTGTTGCTCTCGCTCAGGCTGGTCTTGAACTCCTGAGCTCAAGCGATCCTCCCGCCTTGGCCTCACACAGTGCTAGGATTACAGGTGTGAGCCACTGTGCCCAGCCAAAATTGCAAAATATTTCTAAAAAATTAAAGAACACCTAAATGAATGGAAAGGCATTTTATGTTTAAGGGCTGGGACACTTAATATTGTTAAAATGGCAATACTCCCCAAAGCACTCTACAGAATCATCGAAATCCCAATGGCTTTCTTTTATGGGGGCAGAAATGGAAAAGTGATCCTCAAATTCATGTGAAATTATAAGGGACCCCTAATATTCTAAACAATCTTGAAAAAGCATATCAAAGCTGGAGGACTCCCACTCCCCAATTTTAAAACCTAGTACATAGCCACAGTAATAACAACGATGTAGTGATAGCATAAGGACGGACCTACAGATGAAAGGAATGAAACTTAGAGTCTACATATAACCACACAGTTGATACCATCAGGGAGCCAACATGTTTCAATGGGGTGAAGGTAGTTTTTTCAACAAATGGTGCTCGGAAAAATGGATATGCACATACCAAACAATGAAGCTGGACCCTCATCTCACACCACGTACAAAAATTGAATCAAACTGGATCAAAGACCTAAATGTAAAACATAAAATTATAAAACTCTCAGAAGGAAATGTAAGTGTAAATCTTCATGACCTTGGATTTGGTAACAGTTTCTTAGATATGATACCAAAAGTACACACAAGGAAAAAATAAATTGGACTTCTTCCAAATTAGAGACTTGTGCATCAAAGGACACTATTAAGAAAGTGAATCCGAGACAACATAGTGAGACCCCGTCTCTACAAAAAATTTAAAAAACTTGGACACAGTAGCTCACACCTGTGATCCCAGCCCTCTGGGAGGCCAAGGCGGGAGGATC